TGAGGCGTCAGCGTAGTCTCTCTCTCTCTCTCTCTCTCTCTCTCTCTCTTCTCTCTCTCTCTCCCGCCTACATACATGCACCACCTGACCATGCATGCGCAGCAAGCAAATAAATAGACGGTGCTGCCCTGCGTTCTCTTCTCACTGCTGGACGCAGGTGTGCGGGATTTCCAGCAACTGAAGCATGTCATAGATCAAATGCGCTATCAACGGCTTTCAAAGGTGAGCAGCTGCGCTGCTGGGACAGCCGTTGATACAGCTTGCTTGCCTTGTTAATCACCTTTTGATTTGGCATGTATCACAAACATGCACGCATGCGTGTGGCAAGCATGTGTGCTCGCGCAAGGCCCCCTCCGGCCCCAGCAGGGGCGCGGGGTGCGCCCGCGAAGTGGTGCCGCTGCCGTCATCACTGCTGTCCCTCATCATCACTCTGGTCTTGAGGATCAAGGGCCCTTAATCATGTATACGTATATATATGTGTGTGTGTATATATATATGTACATATATACATACAGGATGATATCGCCACCATGGGTATTGATGCGCCACTGCTTGCCACGCAGGATGTGGAGCTCCAAGCCACGGCCGGCCTGGATGTGATGCTGGCAGACGCCCTGGCACGCCTCAGCAACCACACCGCATTGCACGCGACTCAGGTGCGCTGCCTGCAAGTAAGGGCCCCACGCACGTGCACGGTGCGGTGGACGCGTGGAAATGCGATGCAGCAGCAGGTGCTGCGGCAGCAGCATGCCTATGGCAAGATCCCCCTCCGGTGTGGTCCAGCCCTGGACGACCCTGAAACACCAGTGTCGCGCCAGCAGGAATTGGCAACAATGCTGCCTACCGACCTGCTGCTGGGCGGGAAGCGCTGAACCCCGCCCGCGTGCATCGACCGAAAGCATAGCATTGTGATTTTTGCAGTCATCAGACTTTTCTGCCACCATGCGCATCACAGCCCCCAACGTGCGTGACTACCTTGCAGCAGAAGGTACTGTACTGCAGTCATCATTGGCCCTGACAGTCCCTCGACCTTCCCGCCGGTTGGCAACGCCATTTAGTAACGCCATTTCGGCCCCCATAAAATAACCCACGCACATATACAATCTTGTTGCTTCTTGGTTCCTTACTTGATTGCCTGGTACACATACAGGCATGGATCCGCCAGGAGGTTACCAATGCTGTGTTCAAATCCCTACACGGTCTGCAGTACCCGAACAACTGCAAAGACACGCGCAAGCTTGTGTGCGACCTCGACAAGACATGTGGTTTTGGCTGCCAGATTCATCATGCAGCGCATTGCTTCGCCCATGCCGTCGCCCTGAATCGGACTATGGTGCTCAAGGTGACGTGTGCTGCCTAGATAGAGCCGCATGGACCTGGGCATGCGGGAAACGAGGCAAATAATGTCATTGCGCTTGTCTTGCCGACTGTGAGGGCCATGCTGATTGTGACGTTCATGATGTATGATGCAAGACTGCTGGCCAGCAGTTTTGCACCATGGTGACATGGGCAGCACAACGCTGCGTTGCTTGACATTCCACCAAGCATTGGCGGCTGCTGTTTGCAGTATGTAGGTCACAACAAAACACATATTGGTCAATGTGAGGGATTGAGCAGGATTGTGATTATGCATCACCGTATACCGATACAACGTCAACACATGTGATCACATGCAGGTCTACCCATCTAGTTACATCTAAACGCCTGGTGGCTGGGACAGCGTGCTGCAGCCGGTCTCCTTGTGTGGACTGGACACGCTCCACACTTCCAACCTGAGCGCACTGCCTCGTCTTAATGCTGGTCGCAGCACCGACAACGCTGCGCTCGAGGTTTTCATGCCCATCATTGATAACGGCGTGTCTCAATGGGACCCCCCTGCTTTGCCCAACGATGTGCTGGAGGCCGCTTCTTTGTTCAACTCGCGGCCAGAAATCTGGTGAGGAAGCGTGTGTGCGTGACCGACACAGCTAGCTCACCCTTCATTGGCGCATCCACACACGTTGATCAGCACAATTACGCACGTCTTTTCTTGTAGTGGCTCTACTCCGTGATGACGCATTATTCACTGCGTCGCGTGCGTCAGGAATGCATGCATGTCCAGGCAGCCGCTAGCATGTTTATAGTTGGCACCTACCTGCAGGCGGCTGGCCGGCACATGCTGCTTGTCTTCCTGCTATCGTATAATAGCGATTAAATACCACAATGATCAAGCAACCCTCGCTTTGATGCATGTAGATACAAGGGTGTTGGCATCCTTGCATGTTTGCAAGGGTTATCATTAGACGCTCATCACAAGAGGCAAAACCCTGACATTTGCACGCACCAACAACAGGCCCACGTACGCGTACATGTATGTGCACGTAGATATTAGATGTATGTATACGTATATATATATACGTATATATGTATATATACGTTTATGTACATGTATGCATATATACTGGCATGCCCTGCTTGGTCTCCACAGCAACTCAAACACTTGATTAGGCGTGAAATTGGACTGAACTCGGCTAGCACGCCGCCTTGCTGGTCAGCGCGGCCTATATATGTACTGCTCACAATGATGATTCGCACATAGTGACTGTTTGCATCATTTTCTGGCTCATCTTGCCCATTAAGGTGTCCGTGGCTGTGCTATCAACGTAGGTGGACTGGGGTCCTGGTCAGCTACCTGCTTCGCCCATCTGGCACCTCAGCCGAGCGGCATGAAGCGTTTCGCAAATCAAGCGGCTGGGGCTCGCTGGTCGTCGGCGTCCACGTGCGGCGAACAGACAAGCTAGATCGTGAGGCGAAGCTGCACGTGTCAGAAGAATACATGCAGCATGTGGAGCGACTGTGCGACATGAGGCTGCGGGCCGGCTGGCAGCAGCGTGCGCATCAGCTTGCTCAGCAGGCAGCTGTGTCAGCACCCGAAAAGACAGCGGCCGCCGGCACCACAGGCCAGCCACAGATTTCTGAGTGCAGAGTGTATCTGGCTTCAGACGACTCATCAGTTGCTGCAGAAATTCGCAGCAAGTACAAGCACGTACATGTCATGATCAACGACGTGGGGCTCCGCTCAGGTAATGTTTATAAGGTGCTGAATGTCCTGGATCAAATGCGCTCATCCTGGCTCCGCACATGTTGCATGCTAGCAGGCCTGCTAGCGTTGGGCCATCTGATTACGTGTGCAAGTTGCACCGTCGATACGACCTCCACATGTGACAACGTGCATGCCCCTCCTGTCTGGATCCCTACCTCGCACACCCAAAAGGCCCGCACACGTGCACATACATACAAGGCACGCGCACAAGAAATACACTTGTACAAGCTTAAGCACGCGTGCATGCACACGCACACGCGCACACGCACACGTGCGCGCGCGCACACACACACACACACACACACACACACGCACATGCGATACCTCTGTTTGTGTTTGCGTCCTCACAAACCTGCCCATGCCCATGCACGGTCTTGCCCCTGGCGCACGCGTGCTCAACTCCTTCCATATTCTCGCTCGCACGCGGGTCGCGCGCAGGTGGTGTTGCAGCTCGCTATTCTGCAGATGGTTTTATCGGTGTGTACGATGACATTATCCACCTGGCGAACGCAGACCTGCTGGTTGGCACGTTCAGCAGCCAGGTCAGCCGCTCCGCATATGAGATGAGTCAGGTCAACCATACGCACCTGACAGCGGACCGGGCCTTCAGCTACCACTCCGTTGATTCAATGTGGTGAGCTGCTGTCATCAGTTGCCATGTAGAAATATGGAGGCACAAATCACATTGGTGCCAGGAAGCAATGCCGACTCCAGCCAGCAAGCCATATGTGTGCTTGCGAACAAACGTCTGCTTTCTAGCCGCTGTTCATTCAATTCTGATTGTTATGCAACCTTGCATGGATCGGTCATCGGAAACATTGGCACACATAACAGGTACTTTGGCGGTCAGAGAGACTACGACAGGTGTGCTGCACAGGACTTCACGGTCAAGGGTGTCCCTGTCTTGAAGGCAGGTGACAAGCTAGAATGCCCAATTATAGCCACATTCAATGAAGGCTCGGGGCTCATGCGCTGCCGGATGAAGATATCCCGCGCTGCCGTCGAAGTGCCGCCAGGAATTGTGGTGAGGTGTGCATCGCTGCCTAGTATTTTCCGGCCCATCCTCCCATCGCACATGAGCAAGCCTGCTGCGCCGGCAACCCACACCCCACTTCCAGCCGCGCAGCCCAATATGGCTGGCGCGGCTGCAACGGACAGTGAACACCACTTGGTGGCCACCTGAGCACACTAGCACAACTGACGGTCACATCGTGTATGTGCAAACATTGCGCGTCATACAGGTTGCTTGCGTGCTTAAATCACCTAGGTGTTTAGGCCTAAACATCAGATCCAACTGCGAGACTACTTGCCATGGGCTCTTCATTCAAATAAACATTTGCTTGGACACACATCTGCGTGTGTAGGTCTTTCATCAATCTCGTGCCACTGCCTGTACAGGTACCACATGCCCTGTGCTGTATCGCCTTTCCACAATGCATTCAGATTTGGCCCCTGCAGACTTCATGACCCGTTGCACGAAACAGGCCCGCACATGCAACAGCATGCATCGTGAAGCCGCCAGGCTGTGAAAATCTCCTGTTTGATGCTGACATTTTCGCGGCCGCCGCCGACTGCAACAGTTGAAACCTGGGTGGACGACGAATTTGGCTCCTCACTTGCAATTGTACGCGGCCAGCACGTGCCACGCACATACACACCTATCCCAGCCAAGCACGGCCCACTGAGCGTGCCTCCGAGGCACAAGCTAGAGTCTAGCTTGTGCTGACTTGAAGCGGGAATCTTCTCTGCTGCCACTTGGCGGGCCAGAGTTGCGCTGATTTCAATGTTGTTTGCCCCTGGCGCTTACAGCATTGATAAGGATTGCCATCAACGGACGGCCTCCAGCCAATTGCCGCGTCTCTTGCCCTGCTGCCCGCGCCATCGATACATTCACTGCATCGGACGGCGGTGCGCAGCTGTGCACATGCACACCATCATATACATGCGCTGTCTACAGTTCGTGTGAACAGCTTGCAACGCACTCTGGCGCTTCTCGTCTTGCAGTCATTGAGGGCGTTGTTATTATACGCACTGCTGCTGGGATGGTTTCAAAACTGTGGGTCGAGGGTCATGCATGCACAGCGTGACGTACACAACAACGTATTTATTGGTTGTGGACTTGCATGCTTGAGCCGCAGCATACCTGCATTGCAGCATTCCTTCACTACTCATGCGTTATGAAATGGCCAGTTGTAATCGTCCACTGTCTCACCATGGCCATGGAAGATGAGTGCCTGTATGTGTTGACCGCAAGGTAGGGCGGCGCTGCCCTTGCGGGGCCCCGGCGCCCGTGATTGCGCTGTATCGCTTAGCTTTTCCTTGGAGCTTAGCTTGCCCCTCATCAGGCGCAGGACCCGGAAGCGCAAACGCGCGTGCGCAGTTGCAGGTACATGCAATCTATCGGGATGCTCCAATGTGCGACGAGGCTGCCAGCGTGCAGGCTGGGGGCGCAGCAGCGACCGTGGCGGGTGAGTGCACTTGACGGCCGTCACAAATTTCAACCTGCTGTGAACATCTCACGCGCCAAACATTTAGAGGCATCGCTCCCGCCTGCATCCCATCCTGTTCAAGTAGCCCCGACCATTGCTGAAGTCTGTGCAAAGTAGTTTTCTAGGCCTGCACGCACGCACACGCACTGCTTGTACCTGTTTCTTTGCAGGGCCTGAGAATATCATGATGTGCACCTTAGCACGGGCGCGCAGTCAGCCATCGCCGCCACAAGGGAACCCCATCTGACAAATGCAGCGATTTTACCGTGTGCAGGTGCAGCTGGAGGTGCAATCCTGCCGGTGCCAATCTACAGGTTTCCAGGTGACGGCTGTGCGCCTTGCTGCCACCCAGACGCCCTTGGAGCGGCAGCGCTGCCGCCCCAAGCATAGCAGCTGCACTTGCCCCGAGGGCCGCAGTTGAGTGGAGGGTCATGCTTTGTGCCCATAGCCACCCATTGCTGCCACTTGGCAGCTTGTCCCCCGCCCTATTAAAGGAACGGGACTGCGCGTTCAGGCAGCGCCCATTTGTGTCGCCACAGACCTGTGGCGCTTGTGCATCTAGATGCATATGTACCGGTGGGGGTGTGGCTCACCGCACAGACCCCGCTCCTTACCCCGAAGCGGCACCGCTTGCGGCGTGGCTTTCAGCCGCGCGAGGCGTCCGCGCAGTCCCTCCCCCTCTCTCTCTCTCTCTCTCTCTCTCTCTCTGCACAAGTGGGCGCCGCCCGTGCACGCGTGGGCGTAGGACCCTTCACAAAGGAAAGGAACAAGCTGCCAGCCGCGGCCTCCTCTGCGGCCGCCGCTGGTTCATAGGGACTGCACTCACCTGAATGTGCTGCATCACATCGGTGGCTGCACTCGCGTGCCCCCCGATGCGTCGATTGCAGACAAGCCTTGTGCTTACACAAAAGGGTCCAGTACACAGCATGCGCATGCGGCCGCGATGAAAGCAATGGCAGCAGCAGCCCCCACGAAGAATCACCCCCCGCAGGCGGGATACCCGCAGATAGCACGGGCCGCTGCGTGCTCCTGTCAGGGCGGGCTGCTGGACGCATCAGGCCGACATCATGGGGGGCCGGGGAGGGGGGGCGCCACAGGGCTGTCACTCGTCACGGCTGTGTGTGCGAAGCGCAGCAAAATGACAGCAACACACCACACGATGCGCCAGCGCCTTGTTAGCTGCTCGTCGACTCGTGGCGGCGGCCCCAGCCACAACTGAAGACATTGTCCAGCCAGCGCTACGCGCTGGGCCTTGCCCTGGGCAAGACGCGATTTCACACTGGCAGGTGAAATCAACTGCACAAGGGCTGTGGGCAACCTGATGACTCTTCTCGTAATCGACGGGCCCACAGGAGCAAGGATAAGCAGCGAGCTGGGCGCGTGAGCAGCTTGACCAGGCGTCGTCATAGGCCAGCAAAAATGTGGCACCGCGCACTCAGCCGGCACCGCCACAGCCGCGGCCCCGGGAGTCTTGCGTGGCCGCAGTCGCCCACAGCCTAAGCACCCCACCCCGAAACCCATGAGACTCAAGTCGGGCACCCTGCCAATGTGCAAGGGCGCGGCAAGGAAGACGCGCAAACATCGCAGGTGTCAGCGCCCCGAGTGCGCTCCCAGTGCCGCAGCGCCTCGCGCACAGCAGTCTCGGCGCGCGCACACAGCCGTGTCAGAATGCATCCTGCTTGCCCCTGCCCGCCTCGACCGCGCGGGCCCAATTCAGGGAAGATCCTCGTCAGATCTAATCAGATCAGATCAGCACCACCCGAGGAACCGCCACCAGGGGTACCCCAGGCCGATGACGACGACGAGGCTCAGCGCGCCGTAGATGAATCCGAGAGAGAACCACTCTGGCAGGGTGACGTAGTCGTTGCCAAAGTATATGGCCGCCTGGCCCGACGCGTAGTGGGTGATGTTGCCAAAGAGGTTGGTGTTGTAGCCCAGCGATAGGACGGCGAGCATGGAGGGGACGCCTGCGGCGCAGGAGGGGTGGCGTGCAAGGGGATGGGGGGCCGTCAGGGGCGTAAAGCTTGGAGCGGGGTCTGGGAGCCGGGGGCGGGGAGCGTCTGTGCCCACGGCGTGTGTGACGGCCGCTGTGAAGGTCAGCGCTTGGCGAGCCACTGGCAGCCGCCACGGGGGCGCCCGCGGCCCCAGGCCGCCATGCGTCGCGGCGCGGGCCACGCCTCTTGAGCGGTCCCCGGCGGCACTTCCCTGTCTGGCGGATGGCCCGGGGGGCGACGCTCTGCGGACGCGCGCACCTGATGCGAGCATCATCGCGAGGAAAGCGGTGAAGAGGGCGCCGACGTGCGCGGTCTGGCCCGCGAAGAGGTAGTGGATGAAGAAGAACGCGGTGTGCAGCAGGAAGAACACGGGCTGCCAGCCCAGGTTGAGGGACGTCAGCTGCTTGCCCACGATGTCCGCAAACGTGGTGATGAGCCCTGCGGGCGGGGCGCGGCGCGGCGGCGCGGGGTTGGGCGGCAGTGCTGCGGGTTGCGGTTTGCGGTCGCCACACACAGCAGGCCGGGGCGGCCCAGGCGCGCGCTAGACTTGCGGGCGGGGTGTAGAAAGGGACCTGAGCGTATAAGCAGAGGGAAACATGACTTTCGTGTGACAGTCCAGACTCCACAGCTCTGCCGACACGCCAGTGCTGTCGGCCAACAGGCCAGTGCTGTCCGAGGGCGAAGGTTGAAGGGGCCGTCGCGTCCCAAATCAGCGCAGATCAGTCGGCTGCCGCCACGGCGACTCACCGGTGTCGTTGAGGGCCGAGCTCATGCTGACGAGGACGGCAAACCAGGTGAGGCAGTCCCAGGCTGGGGGGTACTCAAGGCAGTCCCGCCAGCTCAGCACGCCTATGCAAAGGGGCGCGGGGGGGGGGGGGTGGGGGTTAAGGGCGGCAGGGGCTGTTGAGGCCCGAGGCGGTTGAGACAAGGTTTGCAGGAGGTTTATGCTAAGAGGGGTGTTTTGCAAAGCAGCGGCCAGAGATGTTTTCGGTGACTCGGTGGATGCAGGGCTGAGGAAGCGACGACGCCAGCTGAAACACGAGGACCAGGCCACAAACGGCCGCCCGTCGACTCAGTCCGCCCTCTTCCCACCCCTCCCCCCGTGTGCGCGCCGCACCCGTCACGAGCAGCGCGGCCAGCCCCAGCATCGCCGCCAGCACGGCGGGCACCCCCCAGGCGTCCCCCATGATCCACAGCACCACGGCGCCGCAGATGGCCGCGGTGGTGATGAGCTCGTTGCGGCTCATGGGGCCCATCTTCTTGAGGCGCTCCGACGCCTGGCCGGGAGCCTCAGGGGTCTCCTTGACCTGGTGGGCGGTTGAGGGCAGTTACGGGCGGTTATGGGAGTTGTGGGCGGTGTGCCGGCGACTTTGGACGCTTTCAGGCCGAGGCTTGAGCGGGGCTTACAGCGCTCGCGTGCGAGGCCTGGTGTGCGGCCGGGGCCCCATCCCTGGAGGGCGGCAACGTGCAGGCTAGGCGGGGGTGCGGGGCTGGCCCCACCTCTGGGGGGTACTGCTTGAAGAGCAGCAGCGGCGTGATGACCATACCCAGGACGGCCTGCAGCGCGAGCCCCATGGACCATCAAAGAAAACCGGGGGATGGGCGGGGTGGGGAGGAGGGAGGGTCAGCGCGGATTGGCGGACGCGGGGTCACTGCCAGGCGGCGCGCAGGCCGCGCCTCTCGCGCCTGGGGCACAGTTGGCGCTGCCCACCGGCCGCCAAGGACTCCCAAGTCCGCGCGTGCGCCGTTGATTGCCACAGCAACAGGGAAGTGTGGGGCTTAAACTCGACGCGTTTAAGAGCGATGCTAATAATTAATAACGTTTCAAACCTGGGGCAGGCAGCCAATGAACCAGTTCATCCAGACGTCAGGCACAACGGCCCCCAGCTTTGCGGCCAGGTTGATGCAGAGCAGGTTCTGGGCGCCGCTGGTCAGGAAGAGGGCGCTGCTGTAGGCGCTGGTCTGATTTGCCGAGGGGTGCGCGTGGGGGGCCGGAATGTCAGGTGGAGGGGAGCAGGGCGCAAGCTTGTCGGAGGTATGCGGCAGTGCAGAGGCTAGTGCAAGCACTGTGAGAGTTGGTTTGCATGCGCACGCGTGTGGGTGGGTGCGTGCGTGGGTGCACATGTGAGGAGTGTGTGTGTGTGTGTGTGTGTGTGTGTGTGTGTGTGTGTGCGCGCGCGTGTGTGCGCGCGCGCGCATGTGCCTGCGTTTGTGTGACGCCCAACCGGTTCCCAAGGCGAATCCGGGCAGCCCTGCTGTCACCAACAGCAAGGCGCCCAACATCTGTTCAAGCCCTCCAAACCACGACCCCCGCCGCACCTGCAGCTGGTTCTGGATCAGGAACGCCCCGATCTTCTTGCGGCCGCCGGTCTCAGGGTCGCCGCCCAGGCCCTGCGCGGTTGCGTGCCAGCAGCGCATGTCAATCCACGCGCATGCAGTCCGGCTCAGGCGCACAAGAGCCGTTTGGGGTCGGGGCGGCGCAAGGGATGCAGGGGAGCGCCTTGTGACAAACAACCCAGATGCCTGAGGCCTCTCTTTCTGGTGGCCAACAGCTGTCGAACGCAGTTGTTGATCAAAGGCGGCCGCGCCTCGTGCAACTTCGTCTCGCACGTCCCCCTCGCCCCCCGGTCGCGAAAAGCGGCCGCGTCTACGCGCCTTTGACAGGAACTTGATGATGGGCATGAATATGCCGCCTGCCCTGGCGGTCGAGGAGGGCATCGCTGGCGACAGCAGCAGCTCTGGAA